GGTCCGGAGTCCCCTCAACTCGTGTGCACTAGCTCTCAAGAGGAGTGCAAAGGGCACAAGTAGTGGGGATAGGGGGAAAGGAGGACGAAAGCAAAACATGATGCTCACAAGCAAAGGATAAATGAGAAAAATGTCACATGTGAGAGGTTTGTCAATAAGATTACTCTCACGGAGAACAATGAAGTGGTGAGGGGCATGGATTGGGGATTTGGTTTGAGCCGATAAGTGGCTATAACTTGGCATTCTATAGGGAATTTTATAGGAAGTTGATGGTTTTTGGTGAGGATGGCCATATCCTTAGGACGAATGTGAGGGGGAAGACGTTTGACGTGACCCCATATATGATTGCCACCCTATTGAAGTATCAAAGGCCTCCCCCCTGGTATGTTCATACACTGTCGAGGGGAGTAAGACCCTTTATGAGTATGTCCAGCTTACCTACGAGGACCCGACCACATTCAAGGGAGCAACACTAGTTGTGTAAAACTCGCATAAATTTAAACTTTTTATGAAAAAGGGCAAAATAGTAATTTGCCACTACAGTACAAGTTAAAAACTTGAAATTTTTTAGATCTCGGATGATGGAATGGACCTCACCGTTAGATTCATCTCATGAAATCTAGTTGTCACGTCAAATTTCATCAAATTCTGAGATAATCAAATTTTTTACATTTTACGAGGTGATCGAGTCTCGGGTGTCCCAAAAATGAGATTTTTAATAAAAATTCAAAAAGAAAATTTAGGCAAATTAAAATAAAAATATATTTAACTTGAACCGAAACGAAATTAAATCATTTCAGGGCAAAAACGAAACCGGAAAAAAGAGGTCGTGTGGCGCATTGTGGGCCAAGTATTCTAAAACTATAAATAGGGGAAAAATCTGAATTTTTGTCCCATTTTGCTCAACCGGTTCATGTTAAAGAAAAGAAGAGAGGGAAAGAGCTTGATTTCTCCACCTTTGCTCTATGATCTACAAGATTCTAGTGCTCAAATCCGCTGGGGCTAAGAACAAAAGTCGTTCTCTTCACCAAGAGCCACGCGACCACACCAAAAACGACGGGTTTCACCGAAGATTGAAAAATAAAATTTTGGGAAAGCGAGGATTCAAGATTGTTTTGGATTCTTGGGACTTCCCAACGTCGTTTTACGCTTTAAGAGGTAGGGTTCCCTCCTACTTAGGTTTATTTACAACCTAGGATGTTTGTATGAAATGGGTATGTTGATAGGATGCTATATCACTTGCCTATTATGGTAAATTTAATGAAGTGGGTGTTGAAATTGGGTAGAATAAATTTTACCTTGAATTGGGTATGTGAATTGACTCAATGTGATTCATGCAAATTGGTGTTATGAGGGCATGTTACGTGTTTATTTTATGCCTTGAAAATTAAGTGTGTTGTTGGCACATATTATGTGATAACACGCTTGTAACTGTGGGAGGATATGAAAATGTTGATATATGTTAATTGATATATTGACATGGCTATGAAATTGGTAATTATATGCTTTGGATATAAATTGTCATGGAATATGTTTAAATGTGATAAATTTTGCTCATGTGGCATCCTTTACATGTGGGCATGACATTGAGATAACAATGGCGCATTACATTGCATTTGCACGGTGGAACTGCATCAATAGCATGAGTGTTGGTGTGAGTGTGCATGATTGATATCAAACACCAAATATGAAAAAGACTTTCCTACTTTGCTTCTGATTTTTCGAATTATTAGGAAAGAGTTGGTATGAATTATTTTGATGCTGAGGGATCGGGATTTGCTTCTTCTTTAGGACCTGCTTCGGCTTGAGCTTAAGATTCGGCTACTTCGAATGCCCCTCTTCTCCTTGCTTTGGAGTTGAATCACTTGTTATATTGATCAAATAGGGCCTTCCCCGCCTTTAAGAAGCGGGTTATCTTCGCGGAGTATGCAAGCTATTATTTATTAAGCTTTTCTTTTCGTCCCTACGAACGAACCGATCAAGCTATGAATGGCATCGACCATAGCAGAGGAGGAATGATTAGCCTATCCCTCAGTATTGGGTCAAGATGCAAAACTTAGAAAAGTAGGGGTCAACTTTAGTTTAGTGCTCAGGGGGGAACCTTTTATACAACTAACTGAATCAATCTAAAGTCAAATCCTCACCTTCGGAGCGAGAGAGCTTCGAATATGCCTTAGTAGTGAGCAATGGCAGAGATATAGTAGGAGTTCACCCTTAGACATTATTTGGTATGAAAATTTTCTTCGTACCCAGCTGGGCCCGCATTTTAGGTCTTTCGTTGAACCACCAATGTCTCCTAACGCAGCGACGAGGACGTAATGGCCGCTTGATGAGCCTCACTCTATTTGAGAAATTATGTGCGCTACACTGCTAGCCTTCTTCCATACAGCCATAAGAATATTTGCTTACCAGGGTGGATGCCCCTTTCTTCTTTTAAGCAACATATAAGTCTTCATTTTTAACTATAGCCTTAGAAAAACCTTAGCCCCAAGATTTCAGTTTGCATTAGGATTTCAGTTCTCACTAGGAGCCGATTGCTGTTAAGGAGAAAGCGATGGAACATAGTAGTTAATTGTTCTCTCCCGATCCAATTTTAGTTAAGTAATCTGTCTATCCAGCTTTCGACCTAATCATGTAAGGGGTTCCTCATAGGGTAACCAAACCATGCCTCGCAACATTGATTTCTTCTTTTCATTCTCATAACAATCTCCAGAAAGACTTAACGCCAACCAAATAAGAAGAAACACCCTAAGTAAGCATGGAAATAAGAATATTGCATACAAAAAGAAGAAACAACAAACAGTGGTTTGCCCGACTTTATGACCAGGTAGTTCATATTGACTCCTATGACGACACATCTTTCAGGTACCATAGTTATTGTTAAGAGAAGACTCCTACTGCTATCTTTATATCAAAATAAAATGCCTTATCAAACTCCTTCTTCTACCTAACACTCAAAAGATGAGGGAGCTAGAAGCTTTGCAGCTGAAATCGAAATCAAAAAATGAACGATGCACTTATCTGCTGATGCTATAGGAGATCAGATGCCTTTCCTTCTCCTCATTCGGGTATGCATGGGAATAAGGCGAAAACCCTAAATCATTCTTAAACTTGAGTTAAGTAGCTCTCTTGTTCTTGGCTACTAGACAAGGAGCTGGGTAGAGAGAGAACCTCCCCTAGGATGGTAGCTTCTATTCCTTGATTTCCCTCTAAGTGAAATAAGGGATTCTAATGCTTATTGAAGTCAAATAAGGGCATAAACCACTATATAGACTCTTGAGTGCCTTCCCTTCGTACACCAACTAAGTCAACTCTGATTGAATGCGGAATCCCGCTAGCCTCGTATGAACTCCTAGATCCATGAAGACATGGGCATCTCTAAGCTGGTGTAGCTAAGTGAAGAGCAGAAAGAAGGAAAAATAAATTCATTCCTTCAACATTTGATGAAACTTACCGGTCTGTTGATCTTATCTTAATCTATAGTGTAGCTTGTAAGTTTGGCTTTCCTTTGTTTTTTGCCTTTCAGGTGTTAGACTGTATAAGCTTTATGGTTTACTGTTCACTGCATTGTATTTAAAGCAGTATCGCACCATCCGTCCAACCAAAAGGTATGCGTGTTATTTTCTTTCTTGTTTAATAAAGAGAATCACCTTACGATCGAATTGCCAAGGTCGCCCAAGCAAGAGGTGACAGAGTGATTGGTGGGGGTTGGGTCCATTATAGGTACGACATCACACCAAATTGCATCCTTGTAGGATTTTCCAATGAAGAAAGTGATCAACAGAGACTAGCACCTCATTTGCTTTCTTAAACCAAGCACCCTTACTAGTCTAGTCTAGTCTAGTAAAGTAAAGGGGCTCAAAAGGTTGACTTAGATAGGGTGCGTGCTAGCACACTTACATTTTCTTCGTTTAGTCAAGCGATTTATCAAAGAGAATTCCTTCTGTTGCTAGCCGAGTGAGGTAGATAGATCAGAGAATTCCTTCTTTTTCATACGCTAGATAGGTACTTTTGGTAGTTACGGGAAGGGCAGCTAGGCTTACTAATCTATCTAATCTTTTCTTGTTGTGTGCACGTGTACTTGACTATATGCATAGCTTGGTCACCATAGTAACCTCCTTCTATTTCGGTAGTCGGCTCATATAAAGAAAGCTATTTTCGGTAGTTCAATTGTGTTAGCTTATTGTAAGGCCAAAGCTTAGAGAATCTCTTATTTCTTTTTCCTTATCTAGTTTAGGGAAAGCGGATTTCACAAGTCAAGTAGGCAAGTCCAAGATCAGAGAAAAAGAAAAAAATGTTCTCTTTCGGGCTTTAGGATCAGAGAAGGAATGAAAACCATAGTTACAGGGAGATTTTACAGGGCAACGGCCCATAGTCGGAACTCTTTTTGAAGCTCTTTTTAGTTAGCTTCAGAGTAAAGTACCGCTTTGTATAGAAAGACACAAGTCTCATTCCCTCACCTTGGAATAGGATCAAAGAGGATAGAGTGAGTTGAATATGTAGGAGTAGGTGGTGGTAAACTCCTCTTTTCGGTAGTAGAAGTGGAACTCGTTAGGTTAGCTCGTCCGATAAGAAAATGTGCAACTGACTTCTAAGAGCGAGTGTAGCCTTTCAGGTAGCACTCTATTCTATCGAGAAAAACGTTAAAAGCCTTATTCTTAGCTATGAGATGCTTCTAGACTTTCTTTTGAGATCCACTTCGGGAATAAAATCTAACTCTTTTCCAAGTACAGCTCAAGCGGTTCATAAAATCAATCCTTTTCGTCCAGTGTAGCTAGTTACGGAGAGGGAAGTTTGACTGATATCGGGATGGGCTTGGAAGGTCGAAGAGAGAAATTAGGGAAATCAAAGCGTTAGTTCAGTTTCGGTACTCTCAGGTAAGTAGCTCTAGCAAAGAGTTCTTGGTTGGTTCTCACTTGGAAGGCGGCTCATAGAAACAAAACAGTTTTAGGTTTGTCGGCCCTTTATTCAATGAGTCGACTCTCAATGGTTTAAAACAGGCTCCTCGTGCTTGGTTTGAGAAGTTCAGCACCACACGACCAGCATCCCTTCACCCAGTTTCGAACCAGTATGATCACCAGATACAGCAGGTCAGGATCCAGAGCCACCAGATGGAGATTTGTATCCATAGTGAGACCCAATTTTATATTCGTGATGCTGACAGCCACGAGTTTGATCTTGGCTCAAAACGAATAGGAGATCTATCAGTATGCCGTGGGCTCAACGATGCATAATAGGTAGTAGTAACAAAAAGCAAGTAGGTGGAGAAAGAATTGACATAACTACCTCCCTTTATGAAAGCTAGCAGCACTACTGATTGCTGAACCCATTTATGTAGTAACATCAGTAGCAAAGCGCTAGTTGCACTGCAACTATTGATAGTGACTCCGGATCCAATGTCAATTGAAAATAGTAGATACTTTTAGGAATTGTGATAAGGAGCTAGTTATGATCTCAATCGAATCTCTTCAACAGCAAATTCGGATCCTTTGGCATAAGCACGAGTGGTCTGGAGCAGATTACGCTGTTTCTTTCATAACCTTCCTTTTTTAACCATGCAATTAGAGATTATAAAATCTTTAGTCATTAGGGTGAGTCTGTTGATCATGATAGCCTTCCAAAGGCATTTGAATTTCATTCAAATTGTATGGATTGCCTATCTTACTAATAATAATAAAAGGACAAGGGGACGAGGTGTCGTGTGGTCAAAGATGAGGTGAATAAGGAGATAAGGAAGAAACTCTCTATAAAATAGCAGGGCGTTTGCATGTATTCTTTAGAAAAGTGTGTTTCATTCCCCTTTTAGTAAAATAGGGCTTGATTGTTGAAAGCAAGAAGACCCTCATCCACGAAAGTCCCACCATTATCTCTGTAGCCAAACATGCCCTTTGGTTGTAAATATTAGTTCAAACCTCAAACACTGGGGGATTGTGCGATTATGGGATCCAATTCCAAGGTATTGGAAGAAAGCCACGAGATGATCTCTACTAGATGTTTTCCTTAATACCCACGCCTCTAGTTTTGTGACTTACGTGCATGTCTTCACCCAACTGATTGAGTGGAGATATGGAGGCATAGCCGTTAGTACTGCTGTGCATACTATTGAATCAAACAAAGACTAATTCCTCGATCACAAATCTCACGAATCAATTCAAGAGTCAAAGTTTTCAAAACATGCACCTACTCCTAACAAGTTCAAGTCAACGTTATGAAAATGATCAACCAATGCGGCCCTATTACAGTAAAGGCCATTCAATCATTTGAACAAGAAGAAAGCAAAGAGGCGGATACCTCTCCTACTCATCATACCAACAAAGCCTCCCGCCAAAATAAGAGCCGTGCTTTTTCAGAAGCAATGACTGAAGTCCAAGATTTCCATCCTGGTTCCATAAAGAAGGACAGCCCAGGAAGAGAATGCACTATGCTCGCTGCTGATTGTCAGAAGGAACCTCTCGTAGATGAAAATGCATACTTTAAGGTATTTTTTGAAGGTTTTGTGCTTGATAGCAGGCAAAAAAAAAAAAATAAGGGTCATATATGCTACCCCACTCCCTCTCAACAATTTGTCTATGGCGAATCTAGACATCCGAATCCTAAAAGATGGTGTAAACGAAGAAGACGCGCTGGGACAAAAACCCACTCTTCGAGAGAATGGCCTTTTGATTTCTTATTTTTTTATTTATCGTGAATGATTCCATCATTACACATAGTATTCCCCACCCCCATCAGTATATTTTTTTTGTTTTATGTCCTGTAACTCTTACTTGTAGCATATAATTGTCTGCATTAGGAGGTTCGTCCCTCATCAAGTATTTGGGCTGACTTGCTTATCGATCTTCCCCACTCTCTCCGTTCTTATGAAATGCAATCTCAGGTTGAACTTATTCAATGGATTGTGGGTCGTAACGAGTAACGAGGAATGTAGGAGTTTCTGTCCCTGCTGTCCGTAGTGAATGTGAACCTTGCAAGTAGTCTAGGAACGAATTCGGTAGGAGCTGCTTGCCCAGTCAGAAAGTTAGGCTTCGTCGAAGGAGAAAGATCGAATCTCAGGCCAATAAGCTACGAAACAAATTAGACAATGGGTGATGCAATTGCGAATCCTTCTTAATAGAAATTCTATATGAATTGGTCCAGCCAAGTAAAGAAATGAAATGCTCCACTCCAGCTTATTATTAAAAAAAGAAAGGGAATGCTTTAGTTAAGGAAAGCTTCTACGCCCGAAAAGCATTCTTCATCGACAGTGGAGTGGGCACGAGTCTAGTTAGCGAAGGAGAAGGGGAGGAATGCGACAAAGTAGATCTGGACTTGAGTTCAGAAGTTCCGTCGATGTAGGCGATGAAGAGAAAGAAAGAAGACACATTTCATTTCTAATAAAATACGTAATTAGAAAGGTGAAGTCCGCTAAATAGTTATGAAAAGGTATGAGAGATGTTAGGCGGGGCGATAAAGAGTAGAAAGATAGATTTTCCATTGATGAGTCAAGCTCAATATCTCATTAAGGGGGTGTTCCCATGCCTTCCTCAGGGAAGGGGCGATATACTGATATATTGGGGAATGAATAGGCCATTTCTTGTCTTTGCTTTTAGGCCGGTTGAAGTCCAATCCGTCTGAGTAGCTCACGTCAGGAATTGTTCTAGTTAGCAAGCTAGTAATTGAATAAGCACGGCTAAAGTAAATAAAGGCAAATAAAGAAAAGAAGTTCCAATTCCTCTTCTCAAAGTGAGCAAGCGCTTGGATGGTAAGAAAGATAGGTTTAGTCAAGCCGAGAAAGAGTCTCAAGTACGGGCGAGTATGATAAAGAAAATCTCCATTTCTACAGCAAGGAAAGAATAAGCCCTGATCTTCCATTTTCATAAGCAAGGATCAATGAAAGTCGTAGTTCGTTCCATGAGCATTGGAGTCGTGCCTGAATCTTTTGAAAAGCTTCTATCCGACAGAATCCGCCTGTGGTCCACTCAAAGGTTGCTCGAGGAAATATGAAATATTGGATTTATTCAAAGCTTGCAAGAGACTGAAGATCTATTTCAGAAGGGGGCCAGGCAGAAATACAACATTCGAATATCTAGAAGTGGGGGTTCAGAGTCAGGTTAGGTGGCATTGAAAGAGGATAGGCTTTCTACTTTCTCGCAAGCTCGGGGGCAATTTCATATTCATGTGCTCAAGAATTTAACTAACTGCTTTTAGGCCTTTGTTACTAAAAACGCTTGCTTGGAAGATGGTGAAGCATATTCGCAATCCTTAGGCAAAGAGGTAGTTGACTACTCGACCAAAGAAAGACCGTCAAATGGGGCTTATATATGCCCTTCTCATCTCTTATTTCTTTTCTGACCCATAGCACTGAACGTCAACCCCTGTGATAGAAAGTCAATGAGCGTGGTGCAACAAAGCTTCTAGTTTCGGTATCTCTCCCATGGTTATACCCTTCAATAGTAGGTATCTCTCTCGTGAAGTCATAATATCCTATAAAGTAAGAATTTATAATATGAGCTGAATCCACTATTGAAAAGGCAGGAGGGTGAACACGAAGTAGGGTTGAGTCTTGAGTCTCAGGAAGTGTTTAGGGCGGGTTCGAAGCATTCTTCAAAGACAGGTACAGTACCAACTTCCATCTTAGGGGAATAAAATGGATAATCAAACTGCTAAGGTGAGTTTACTCTCCCTTTATAAGATGGAAGTTTACTTACAAAGAAAAAGGTAAGCGTTGGTATAATATTTTTCAGTCTTAGTTCTTTCTTTAGTCAAGGAATTAGCTTGTTGCTCAAGGGAAGGATCTATGTAATAAGAGTTGAATAAGGATTCTTCTAAGCGCTGGAGTCCGAAGGGTCCGAAGGAGTGGTATCAAGCATGCTCGTAGCTCACCCGTAACCCGTGAAGTAGGCAATATGTAATATTGGCCCCTACTCGACTTGGAGGGTGAGGTACTATTGATATTTCAAGCGATGCTACCTTCGCTTCCTTATGAGATTACTTTGTTGAACTGATCTACATCTACGGAACCAACTTCAACTGTACCAACCCGGATAGTTGCTTCCCCACCTTGGCTTTTCCACCTTTTCTTTCACATTGATTTGACTTACCTTCTGCAATAGAGTGATCTAAGACTTTTCCTTGCTTTGGAGGATGCCCTTCTTCCAGGAGCACTACTCATCTTACTGATTTCTCAGGTGCACTATTTACCTTTCACACTTCAGCTTGCTGCCCTCACCTACGAGAAGGGGAGCTAAAAGAAAATAAATCGGAACAACATTTCTTAGTATTCTACTATCTTGCGTGAAAGCGCTTGGGTACATGCCTTCCTCATTAGATGAATTCACTCAATCAGAGACTTTCGTTTATTTCATTCACCACCTTTGTAGAAGTACTGATCGATCCAATCCTAAAGCACATAGGTAGAAGTCATTCTCGATCCGATCTTAGACTTTCCATTCCAGGAAAGATTTATGCAAACAAGAATCTCTATTTTGTAGCCGGGGGGTAGGTCCTATCAGTTAGCTACGTCCCTCTGGCAAGTTTGCTTCTGCTTCTTTTAGTTTGCTACTCTTGTATGAACACCCTTTCTCTCTTGAAGTGAGCGAGTTCTGATCACTAAATTAGAATTTGGCTCCTGAAAGCTTAGAAAATGCATTTTTTAGACCAAGCTGAGCCGAGGATTGTTTATAATTAGTCGTGATCAAAGCTCTTTCAAGCCAATAAATTGGCTTGACTGAAGATATGTAATATCCCTGCCCCGCTTGCTACGTAAAGGAGGGTGGAGTGAAGCTTCCCTTTTTCTAGCTAAGAGCCTAGAATTCGATTTGCCAATCACTCTATATATTATCATTTCGTTTCAGAGCGAGATAGAGTGGTTATATTCACATTGGATTCTATCCAAGTACCCCTCATATAGGGAGTAAGAACAACGCTTTATGAGCTGAAAACCATGTCTTTTATAAAATCTTTCATGGTTAGGCTTGATGAAATGGAGGAAGATTGAGGAGGTCAGAGCCCCAACCATTGCATTGTGGTTCTACGTTCCACTATTGTACAGTAATGATTGCATCCCCCTTCCCTTTCTTTTATGAATTAACCTATTTATAGGACAACCGCCTTCTTGATGCAATAAGTTTTGTTCCAGGACGCTTAGAAAAAGAAAACACATTTCTTTTCCTTGTAGTACTGCGGGCTTGCAACAGCTTCTTCTTCTTCATTGTACGGAAACTTGCTTCCCCGCAGGGTTTGAGCTAACCGTGGTGGATGGAGAAAGTCAGTCGTCTTTGCCCCTCGGGTTATGGGTTCAAGTGGGCGCTTCATCTTCGGATATAGTAGATTGCTAGCTAAATGGACGGTTTCGTGTGTAGGGGTTAAGCACTTAGAGGAATAGTCGGGTAGTGAGATAGTAAGGAGTAGAATACCAGTTTGACGGGAGACCCAAGAGACCTTCCCGCCCGCTAACCGTGCCACTAGCCTTTACATAGCAGATTAGCCTCTTGGCTGGGCTCCTTCATTTCTATTCTCCACCCAGTTCGTACCTGCCTGTGTACTCCCTTCCCGGGGTCATAGCTTTTGATGATCGGGGAATGGATTATATGGTTCTAGTTCTGCCTTTAGGGGTTTTGTTAGAGGCTAGCCAGCAGATGGAGAAATGGTATAGATATAGAGATTCAAAGTTATAAGGCTTAGCTTATTGCTTTGAACCTTCGCTTCCATCGGCTTCGAGGCAGAAGAACTTTCCCAGATCTAGTAGTTGTTCCTAATTGGAGGTGATATGCTTCCACAGGTGTTAGAGGAGATTAATAGCTTACCCTTCGAGGCAACGCCAGCAGTAAAGGGAGAAGTAAAGCAATTAGATCTAGTGGCATTAGATGGATGCCTTTCGACTGTAAATGGATATGTAGTTGGAATAGACGGCGATAAGCCTAACAAACAAACCTTTTATTCATTCGTTCCCCAACGAGTGGATCTAAAGGCATGAAAGGAGGACCTGGGCACAACACAAAGGGAGGGGGAGAAAGACAAGAACTTCACTCTGCCACTTCTGAATATCTAGTTTCTTACCATCAAGAAACCTCCTCTTGTTTGATTTATAGTTTATTATAATAAAGGAAATTCCAGCATTGATTTATGGTAAAAAGGTAGGATACCAGGCAAAATTCTGATGGGGAATGGCCCTTTATTGCTGGGTGCAAAAGAAAGGAAAAAACAGGGCTGTTGCAACTAGAAGTGAGAGTCTTAGGGTTGCTAATAGGGCTGATTTGGTTCAAGAGCCTATGCAAAAGATGGTTGTTAGTGACCAGTCAATGGAAGTTGTTGAGAAAGGTGACTCTCATATCTCTTATTGGGGTTCAACCGAAAGACCTTCCTCTCTTTTCCGTCTTCAAGAGAATAGAGGGAAAGCTTTGTCACTTAAAAGGTAAGATTGGTTAGATGCTAGTTGTCCAGGAACAATCTACGGAGGATTCGTCTTCCACCTCCTCCCTAGAGCAGCACAAGTCGAGTATGGAGGAATCTTCTATGGCTTCCTTGCTTATATCACTTTCATCCAACTGATCAATGCAATTGGAGAACAATCACTTGCCCATCCTCTTCCTTACCTCACTGAAAGGGCTTCCCCAAGGGCTCTTCATAAAGTGGAGTGCAACGAAGAGTTGAGGAGTTTAAACAAAGAGTTGCTCGGCCTCTTGTGACAGACAGCCTTCGAAACGGATTCCTATCCTACTAAACTATTTAGTTTGTTGTTAGAATCTCTATCCTAGTAGTAGGAAGCTTTGCAGCGACAATCAATAACAAGAACCGATGATATATCCATTGTTGCTTTTGGAGCTCTTGTGGGAATACCTAAGACAAGTAGCTAAGCGAATAGGGTTGTTAGCGAGGAGCATAGGAGTTCTTAAACCAATGAGCTTCCTTCTCTTTGGATGTGGGATGTAGCTCTTCTTTCTATGGTTATAACAAGCAAAGACAAATCAAAATAGAAAGAAATTGATAGCGATTCAAACTAGAAGTCCCTCTCGCAGCCTCCTTACTCCTGTAGGTTTAGCAAATCGACCGTAATTAGTTTGATCACTCAAGGCTTATCTCTCTATTCCCCTTTCTATACTCAATTACGCAAGAAAGACTAAAGCACATACATATAGAGAGGAGACAGATGTATATATAAATATAAGGAAAACATCTTAGACTAAGCAAGGCACCTTTACTAGTTAAAAAAGACAGTGGCCGGATGGGGTTGGCTTTGTTGTTACTTCGCTTTGAGTTTTAGGGGAGAGGAAAACATAACCAAAACCTAGCACTTAAGCGTATCCAATTCTTAATTGCTGCAGCAACATTAAATACCACAGAGAAGGGGGTAGCTGCGCCTATTGTGGTCACAGGTAGGGCTTAGAGTTGGTAAAGCCACAAAGGAAGACAGCGAACACAATTTAAATAAGGATCCCATCGAACGCTAAATAAGCATTACAGGTAAAATAAAATCAACTGACTTTGCTACCTTGACTCTGATCTAAGTCCTCGCTTCAAGCCAAGAGCTTGAAACATAACCACGGTGATGAGCTCCTTGAGCAACACGTTCACAGACGAAGTGATAGTCTATTTCAACGTGCTTGGTCCGAGCATGAAAGACATGATTGAAAGCCAAATAAGTAGCACTAACATTGTCGCAAAACAACATAGGTGGCGTAGAAAGAAAGACCCCAAGGTCTTTAAGAAGATATTGCACCCAAGTGAGTTCCGTAGTAACCAATGCCAACAAATTGTATTCAGTCGCGAGATAGTGGGTTCTTTCTTTAAGAGCCAAGAAATTAGATTGCAACCGAAAAAAATGCAACCACTTGTCGTACATTAGCGGTCATTAGGGTTACCAGCCCAGTCAGCATCTCAAAATGCAGTTAGCTGAGTTGAAGAATGAGTAGCAAAAGTGAGACCGAACCCAAGGGTACCTTTGAGATATTGAAGAATGTGTTTGATTGCAACCTTATGAGCTGTGGTAGGAGCATACATAAATTGGTAGACTTGATTCACAACATAGGTAATATCAGAGCGACTAATAGTTAAGTACTACAGATCTCCCACCAGGCTGCGATATAAGGAGACATTAGCAAGAAAATCATCCTAAAAAGCAGAGAGCTTGGAGCCAGACGAAACTGGAGTAGAAATGGGCTTGGCCATAAGCATGTTGGCACACTGGAGTAGATCTAAAGTATACTTGGTTTGAGTCATAACTAAGCGATCAGGCGAATGCGAGACCTCCATACCCAGGATATAATGAAGGACTTTGGTGACCTTCATCTCAAAGCATTGTGATAGAGAATTAATAAGTGAGCGGATACCAGCTACATCGCTTCCAATAATGATTATGTCATCAACATAATGGAGAAGAACAATAGCGCCTGAAGTAGAGGTGCAAACAAAATGTTTGTGTCGCCCTTGCTACAGAGAAAGCCATGTTGTAAGAGCTGTGAAGAAAATCGATGGAACCTGGCATGGGGGGCTTGTTTCAGGCCATAAATTGCTCGGTAGAGTTTACAGACATAAGAAGGACGAGCAGGATCTATAAAACCCGGAGTTTGCTTCATATAAACCTCTTCGTCAAGAAAGCTATGAAGAAAGGCATTTTTACGTCCAGCTGACGTATAGCCCACTCTTTAAAAGTCGCTAGAGCAGGAGCAGTCCGAATAGTCGTGGACTTGACAACAAGGCTGAATCTTTCTTCGTAGTCGATCCCATACTGTTGAGTAAAGCCCTTGGCAACGAGTCAGGCCATGTGTCATTCAATAGACTCATCCACACGACGCTTAAGCTTAAACACCCACTTTGATCCAACTACATTCATAGATGGATGGTAGGGAACAAGAGACCAAGTGGAGTTGTGAAGTAGAGCATTGAACTCATCCTGCATGGCTGCGTGTCATTCTGGTACCTGAGAGAAGCAGGTCAGTTCACGAAAAGAAGCATTACACTGAAGAGCAAGAAAGCATGCCAGAATAGGTTAGCGAGTGGCAGAGAAAACCTTCGGTTTTCTGGTGCCATCCCTTGACCGAGCAATCATATGATGATGTGACACGATGACAAAAGATGATGGTGGCGGTGTAGTCATGTCAGTTGTAGTACACCTAGAACCAAGATCCAAGGCCAATGGAGGACCATCAGAGCCATAGGGAGCAACCTCAGTCGTAGTAACAGCTGGTGATGAATCGGGGAGTGGCGCAGCAACAGAAGCAGAAGAGGGTGACAAGAGAGGAAGAGCTGGCAAAACTGTAGAGGCGATTGGAAGAAAAAGAAGCTGAAGTTGCCAATTGGACGGCACGTATGGTTGGTGTGAACAATCAAGCCCAACAAGTAGCAGGCTAAGCTCAACAAGTGGTTGGTCAGACCCAACAACCAACGGGGGCACCTCTTCCGTCGTTTTTGGGCCCCAAATGCCACCACCACCTATGATGCCAATTCCCTAAACTTCACCAGACCCGCTCATGATCTACTAAAGAGGTAAATCCTGTCAAAGCCCACTAACCAGATGCGCCTGAAGGTTTTCTACATACAGAACATCATCTAGTTTTGCTAATCTAGAAGCTACCATTGTTTCTTTCCGAATAACTCATGCTTTACTCTCGTCACCAAATGTGATTGAACCAACTTAAGTATCTTCTAGATTCTCAAATATGGCTTTCTCACCTGACATATGTCTTGAACAACTACTATATCCGCACCAAACATTTGTCTCTAAGGCTTTTAAGACAGTATGTACAACTAGGCCTTTGGGACTTTCCTTCCTAACCCAAACTGCTCTAGTATGGGGCTTCCCTGAATTCATCTCCTACTTGAGTATCTCTTTTGTAACTGAGTTACTAAAAGATTGATTCTCTTTGGCCTTCTTAGACTGTGAATTACTTCTCTTAGATATTTGAGAAGTTTGTCCAACCTTCTTCGGAGTGAAGTTTTGCTTCTTCTTTCCAACTCTGTAAGCTATATTTTGAACACATTTTCTTCCCTTACTCTTTATATCAACTTTGATTATAGGGAAAGATTTCCATTTAGTACACTGAGGAAGTATATGAACTGACTCACCACAGTGATAACAAGTTGGCACAAACTTCTTGGTCTTCCCCCCTTCAGTTGAAGTACTAGGTTTGCTAGCTAGCACAAACCTTGCCCTTGATAAAAAGAGATTGAGGTTTATGGTCTATTATGATAAAATCCTAGACCTCTCATATCGTCAGCATCTCTTCTAATGCTGAGGATACGATTTGTTCCCTCAGAGAAACTCCTAATAATATTCTTTTCATTCTCTAAGTCTTTTTCTAATGATTTAACTTTATGTTCTAGACTAGTTTCTCTATCCTTGGAAATCTTCATCTCCTTTTCCAATTCTTCCACTTTCTTAACCAATCTTAAACATTTAGTCCTAAACTGATCAACATTAGTTCTAATCTGACTAGTATCCACTTTGAGAACTTTCTGAGTATCAGTTTTCTCTTTGTTTTTTCTTTCACTTTTCAAGAATCGAGAATACTTTCTAATAAGTTGCTCTCCTTCACTTAAATCTTCATCGTCAGATCTTTTAGGCTCTCTGTTCGAAGTGGAAGGCTCTCCTACATCTCTAACAGTTACAATAAAGGTTGTATATTTTGTTACTTCATCACCAGATGAGGAGGTGGATGAATCGTCACTATCCGACTCGCTGTCATCCCACTTGACAACTAAGACCTTTGACTTCCCTTTACCTTTTTGATTAAGGCAATCCTAGGCAAAGTGTCCAAACCCTTGAAACCCGAAATGCTTGACCTTAGGTGACGGTTGACCTTGATTACTTTTATTCCTTCGGTCACCTTTCATATCAATTCTGCCCTTGTCAGAAGGTCTATCTTTACCTTTCTTAGATAATTTTTTTCTACTATTTTTAAGAAACTTCCTAAACTTCTTGACCATTAATACCATTTCTTCATCATTGTCGAAGATTGAGTCTTCATCTTCAAACTCCTCATAAACTTCCTTAATAGACTCTATGGCAATGCTTTTACCCTTCTTGTTATTCATCTCGAAAATCTGTAAGGATCCAACCAATTCTTCTATCTTAAGAGAGTCTATAACCTTACTCTCTTCAATCGCCATGACCTTTGGTTGGAACTTCTCTCATAAAGATCTCAACACCTTCCTGACTATCTTATGCTCAAGAATACGTTCTCCAAGATAGAAACTTGAGTTTACTATGTCACTCAATTTCGAATAGAAAGTCCCAAAACTTTCACTATCCTCCATACGAACGGTTTCAAACTGTGTTGCCTACCGTTGGAGCTTGGAGATCTTAACGGTCTTAGTACCCACATGGGTAACTTAAAATGAGAAGATCTAGGATAGGCCGCCAACCTCCTAGAGAGATCAATGTGCATGGACTAGGTGAGTAGGAATGCAGCTCTGTGGACCGCTCGTCAGCCTGATAGGTGGTGGTATCACACCCTTCTCAAAGGAACTGTACGTGACACTGTCGCATCATACGGCTCCATCCCAGAATTAGGACTTCCCCTTTGCTTTGACCAACGGGTCCTCAAACAAACCAGTCCTCCCTTTTTATTTCTCGGTAAGCAATTTTTTTTGATTCATTCATTGATTGATTCAAGGTAGCTTTAGCTTGCTTCCATGTCCAAGCGCTAGCGATAGAAGCTAGTCACCAAGCGAACTTCCGGCCAAGAAGGAGCCAAAAAATGTGAGCGCCCCCTAAGCTACTAGGGCGAGCCTTAACTTGTTGAAAACTAAAGCAAGAAGGGAGAAAGTTGACTTTGAGAAAGAGGGTGCTTGTTGCTGCTTTATTAGTAAGGTTGCTTTACTAAGATTCGCTTTGTAATATAAATCAAGCGCGTTACCACTTTAGTTTGATTGCTCATTAGCGCTTTCATTTTTAATAAGGAAGGCATCGAACTAATAGGCTTGACTAATAAGATAGAAAGGGCTTTTCTCACTTGTTTAGTATAGCTTTGGCTTCGCCCTATCTTGTTGATGCGAAAGCTACCGCAACTAAAAGAAAATGAATGAAGGAAGAAGGCATTAGCATTAGAAAGACTACAGAGGCATTCTGGGGCAACTACAAGATGACGACTACAAGATGATGACTACAATACTAGTCATGCGCGATAGCGAAGCCAAGCTGGATAGGGTTTTTTATGTCGAAAGCCCCAAAACTAGCTATCTTATAGCAAACAACTAACGCAAGCCTACTCAACAAATCTCATAAGTTAAGTAAAGGCCTATTCGCATCGCAACTAATAGAAAAAAATGACTACTAGACTAGACAAGTAGTGGAGTGCTCCTTGTTGTTCGGATCTTGATTGGGTCCGAGCTTCCCAAGCTCTATGTTGTTGGGGAACTATGCAAGGGTCTTACCACCTTATTTATTTATTATATTTGAGTCTTTGGAGTACTTTGGGATTATATTTCGTGCCGAGGATTTGTGCTTGTGGGCCGGGGTGAATATTGCAGACCAGCAAATCTGGTGGTCGATAATCGTTCGAACTTGATAAAGGTTGTCGTGGCACCTGTAGTAAGATATAGGACTTATCGCGATGCCCACAGACCAATTTACGATGTCTCCGTCGCTGACGTTTGTCAAGCAGGCCACGTGGATTGGCCAGGGTCTTCTTCGGTTAATGATACCTTGATCCTTAAGCCTTCGAAGTATCTTTTTGATAGGCACCTCTATTTGTATAGGGAATTCACTGCTAATAGATCTCCCCCAGTGTCCCTTTCCTTCCCCCGCCGCCTTTCGACCCGCTGGAGTATATAATGACAACTTTTGGACACTCATGCTCGATCATGAGACTACCTATCGAATGTCTGATGGCACCTTGCTCTAACCTGAGCTATGCACGAACGAGATCTCCCTGATCCTTGCCAGATAGGTTTGGCAGTCCCCCATAATATGCTCACTTGGGGACTTCTTACTCTAACTGTTCCAAGAGTCTCAACTAGTTGAACCATGTCCAGTAGACTCCCTGTTCCGTTCATCCCCTTTGTCAACTATTTGAACGAGATACTATTACCTAGTTTCCTAAACTTGGAATGGATGGCAGAGCATAGGTGGCAAGTAGTTATATGGATACGGTGCTTTACCCGTAGATGCTTCTCCAACTCTCGCAATAATTGTATGGGTGTCATCCTCAGAGGGACTTCTCGAATGACCGTACCGAGGAATTCTACCGTACTCTGTGTAGCTATTGTTGTTGATACTGCAGAGCCAATCAAAAGGTTCAGGCTGGATTGTAGGAAGTGGGCAAAATATTTTTGTATTTCTATGAGAAGCTCTACGGTACCCACGATTCCTAGTAGTGAGTCGTTGGCATATCGCGTTTAATAAATCCTTTAAGGTGGCCAGCTTATAGGCCAGGCTTCCCTCTGACCTGATAATAAATCAGCAAGCTTTCTCCTCTTTGGCCCCTTTTCCCACACCAAGGTACCAACAAAAGTAAAGCGTAGCGACCAAATCGAAGAAGAGAATGAAAAGGGAGCTTACTCCTCTTAGAGAGACTGGAGATCGTAGTCTCAATCCTAACCTCATAGAAGGTCTTTTTTGTGTATGCCTTCCTGGCTCGTATGATTGTGTTACCTTCCTTACTAGTATTACCATATCGGGATCGAGGACCAAGACAAAGTGTAGTACCATACCTGAACCTACCTATCGCTAGTCTTATTAATTTTTCTGACTTGGTGGTGGAAAAGGGAAGAAAGCATGATTGCGAACTACACTAAGGTGCAGATAAACTCGTTAGCGGGAAGAACAACGAGTAGCAGTATGAGGAAATCAGAGAAAAAGGGCAAGTAGGTCTGCTTCAACAAAAAAAAGGCTAGGGTTGCTTTCTCTATTGGTTGAATTCATCACTAGGTTACATTAGACCTTCGACTCTCGATTGCTGCTTGATTACCTATGTCGCTTGCGTTAAGCTTTCTTCACTTTCAATTCTACCCCAAATCATAGCAAAGCGCAGATGCGGTAGCCATTTTGGAAAGCTACTCGTTAGCTTAGTAGTTGCAAGACCTGTCAAATTCTGCTCTTCCCACTTGATCTTGTAAGCCTATACTTCTTACTTTGATAGCTATCACTGCAATCATTGGAATTGGTTGGTCGTTTGCTTGATTGGAAGGATTGCCACTTTTCTATCTTAGCTTAGCTTGACTGATCATGTAGCAATGAGCTTCTTGAATCTGAAACCCTAAGCATTCAACCCTAAGAAGCATGATCGTCCATTTCTCGATTGAACCAACACAGTGTTCCGCTACCCCCCACCTACCTTCCCTGAACGAGCTTTTTCTATCCTTTCATTTCCCTTACTTCCCTAAAAGCTAGATATATCTCTACCTCCCAGTCATGCCTCGCCAAAACTAGTCATTTTCTTACAGTCGTGACATCGTTCTGCTAGACCCAATGTGAACCAGGAGGGTAGTGACACTTGTCATTCAAGATAAAAGGGAACGATCCGCTTTGCATACCACCACCACCACCGTTGATGAGTCTCCTTAACGAAAGTGAAAAGGTCTCCTTACTATACTATACAAGGGGGGCCGAGCATGAGATTCATCTAGAGCTTGACCAGGGGGATGGTTGAGTGCGTAAGAAAGAAACTAAAGAAATAACCAAACCGATCTACCAATCAAATCAATGAAAAATGTTGTCTATTTTCACTTGGCTTGAAGGCTTACACAAACCAAATCAGTGGGAAAAAAGAATTTTGACAGGACTAAAAGCACCAAGTTAAAAAGAACGAAGCAAGTGTCGTGTGCGAGTGTGGCTTTCAACTTTGTCTCCTCGTTGCCTTAAGCCTAGAGACTGGGGGTGCTTAGGACCAGAAGGGGCTTGCAGACCGAAGGTCGCGACAGCTTGCTTGCTAAGGTACGAACTAGTGCTGGTAAATAAATGAACCTGTGAATTCTCGCGGCAGGCATTTTCGAGGTCTTTGGTCTAGTGAAAGCCTTGTTTCGAAACCCAGTCGTAGTCATAAAAGGAAGGCAGACGCGCAGGTCAGATCAGCCCACCACTTCTTTATCTCGTAGTTCCACTTTCAGATCATGGAGCAACATCAAAAGGAGTGAGCTTTTAGGGCTAGGAAGCGAGAGGAAGGGTGAAGGTCGCCCCTATTAAGTAAGTTCAATGAATGGCTTGAGTGGAAGATGGTGTGGCACAAGACAAATTGAAAGCAAAGGGAAGGGAGGCGCTACTTAGCCCTGTCCTTCTTAACCTTCCGAGAGCCTTCTTGACTGGCATTTCAACTGGGCTTGACTAAAGGGGGTTGCCCGGTTCTGATCCTCACTGTACTCGTCTTAAGCTATTAAATAGGCAATAAGGGGAACATAGGTCTCCTGAATTATTTTGAGTGAAGAATGGCGATTCCTCAAAGAGAAACCTCTCGATAAAGGTTTCCTTAACACCGTTTCTACCCATTCATGGAGTTTCACTCACTACTGGAAAGGCGGAATCACAACATCCAAGCTTTTGTCTATTAACTCGCCTCTGACTCTAAGCTTGGTTCCTTCCATTTCCACCCGGTTTTGACGAACCCATTCTTCCCACGCAAATCATGAGGATTGTTTTTTTTTTTTTACGATGATTCAGCTCCTGAACCTGCAAGTTTCTACGCTGAGAGGACAGGTCAACGCTAATTCATGGAGTAAATAGGGAAGGTATAAAGACAAATATTTGTGAAAGGCCAGACAGGTTGTATTTGGGTGGATTAGCTTTCGGAGAAAGAGCAAGAAGCTTACTTACCTAAGAGCTAAAAGGGCAGGGTTGGGAAGGAAGGAGATACAACTTGAGCTTGAGTGTGGAGCTTGTCTTCTTAACAGGCCTACGTTTATTTGTTCACTTGGGATTGTTCGCTTGACGGGTCTTGGTCACCGCTAGTTAGCCCCACGATACTTGGATAAGATTTTTCAAATTGTCTTTCTCCGATTTCTTCTTCCTCCTCCTTGGTGCTATTTCCAAACGCTCCTTTAACGACTTCGTTTGACTTACTTAGACAAATAGAAAGCGGCAGGTTAACTCTAACTTGTTAATAAAAAGCTTTCTCCGACTTCAAAGTTGGATCTACTGGAATTATAAGCTATATGGGGGGCTTGGCTGGTGGACT